CCGCCGCCTCGCCGCTCCCTCCCGCTCCCTTAAAGGCGCCGAGCGGCGGCCGCGCCGGCCCCCCCGCCGCCGGGGAGGGACTGACGGAGGAAGGCGCCCCACCCGCCCCCGCGGGCCCGCACTCCGCCCGGACCGCGAGCCCGCTCGGCTCAGGCCCGCGCGGCCACTGCAGCGCGCTGGGGGCGACGACGACCGAGACCCGGCCGGGCGCAGAGACCACTCGAGAGACACGAGACACTGCAGTCCAGACAGAGATGGGAACGCAGACTGGGAGTCAGGGGCGCGGGGACGTTGAGACACAGCGTTAGAGAGAGCCAGCCCCCTGGGACTGAAACATCAGCGTGGAGAGAGAAATTCAGGCACTAGAGACCCAGCGCATGGCACCAGCAGAGTGACTGAGCCTGCAGAGATGAGGAGAGAGGAAAAGCAAGGGAGCCTCCCACGAAGCCGGGAAGGAGGTGGCTCTGGGGATCAGAGACAAGAGATAGACCCTCCGTTAGCCTGTCCCACTAAAGGGTTCTGGATCATTGCTAGGGTCTGACCTAGCCTCAGAGGGGACGGGATTTCAGAGCTCTTCACTCTAAAGGAACAGGTAAAAACCCCTGGGACTCCAGGCTGCAGCCGAGTTTGGGGAGGCCAGTAGCCTAGCTGTGAGAAGTGCCCTCTCCACCTCCCAGACCTGGGATGCAGACGTTTTGGTGAACAGGCCCTGTGGAGGCTGAGGAGATTCGGGCTGTGGCTTCTGCTGACAGGGATTCATGGTCCCACCCCAGCAGGGGGCAGGAGATGGCCAGCTGTTCTGGTGGTGCCTGGGTGTTGGCCAGGTGGGAGACCCCAGGGGGGAGCAGTCCTCTCCCTAGCTCAGGGCCAGGCCAGATCTGTGGGCCCAACCAATGTCTGACCAGCCTTTGGCAGCTCCCAACATTCCCCAAGCCAGCTGCCTGGCTCCCTGCTTCTAGAAAGGGGTATGGGGTAGCTGCCCCTCAAATGACTTCTCAATTCCTACCTAGCCCTCCCCTGAGAAGATGCCCTCTGCTTCCTTCTGAGGAATTGGTAAGGGCTAAAGCCCAGTTACACTCTGCAGTCAGGCACCCCACCGGCCCTGTCCCACTCCAAACCCTCCAGGGAAAAGGTCCATCAGATATTTCCACCCTTGGTCTAGCCATGGTCCTGACTCCAGGGTCCCCTGCATGGAAACTGGGCACATATAGGGTGGAAAAGGGGCCTCAATGGGCATTTAGTCCAGCACCCGCTCTGGGGCTCTGACTCTACCCACAGGATCCTCATCAAGTGGCACTTCAGTTCCTGGCTGATTACTTCCAAGGACAGGGAACTCAGTACCTCAAGCAAGAGCTCGTCCATCTTTGGATGGTACTAACCATGAGAATGTTTTCACTCATTTGAGCTGAATTCTGTGTCTTATATCACCCACCTATGGGTCCTTCTGATGGCTCACCCAAGAAATCCAGCGCTCACCAGGGCCCTGTCCAAAATCCGTAGTGTGCTTTCACCAGCCATCATGGTTTCCCAGAGACCTGTCCTGGTTTTAGCACCGCAAGCCCTACATCCCAGGCAACCTTTCAGTCCCAAGAGCTTTGACTCCCAGAACCAGGTAGCAGTGCAAACAGAATTTCAGACAGAATTCAGGAGACAGAATTTCTGAAGCTCCGAGGCTGTGGAGCCAGAGCCGTTCACCAGTGTGTGCCCGTGGTCCCTAGCTGGGAGAGTGTGAACAGATCCCTGCAGCCCTTCCCCATTACTGGAGTGTCTGGGGATGGGAATAGTAATGCACACTTATTGGACAGGCAGTGTGCTCAGGGCTTTACACACATTGTGTCACTTAACCCCGAGGCACTCTCTGCAGTGTATTATATCATCTCCAGTTTACCCATAAAGAAATAAAGGCTGAGAAAGTTCTGTGCTCATGGTCATGCAGGATTAAATTTCAGGCCTGTGCTCTGTCCTGCCCTCACCCTTCCCTGCAGGAGGGGCACAGAGGACTGACCACCTGGATAATGTTCAGGTTTGGTCACCTGGTCTGTGAAGGTGAGTGGTCACAGAGGAGCAATAAACCTGCCTCAAAGGAGACACACCTGGGCCTGAGCCCCTCCCCAGTCTCTTGGCTCACAGTCTGGTAGGGGCCCTGCTGTCGCCTTGCACCTACCTGTGGGTGTGTGTGCACGCATGCACAGCCATACACACACAATCCTGCTCAGGGAAGATGTGCTCTGAGGTGGACACTGACACCCCTCCCGCCCCATTCAGTCCAGTCACCACAAACCCTTGGGAGAGGGTGGGTGGAGCAGTTAAGGGAAGGTGCAAGGTTGATGGGAATTGCAGAAATCATCTTAGCCAGACCCCTCTCCATACCCTTATTTCTCAGATGGGAGGACAATGGGCCAGAGATGGAGGGGACTTGCCACATGACAACAGACTTCCAGGCTTGATCCCCGGCTTCCCCTCTAAACCATCACAGCCCCAGTCCCTTCTGAAATGCAGTCCCCTTGCGTGGATCTGGAATCTGATGGGGAGTGTGGGGCCCTGGCCCCCCCCCCCCCCCCATAGCTCCTGAGTGCGTTGGCTGTTACCAGCTGCCAAGGAAGCCCCAGCCCTGCCTTCAGACAGAGTAAACACATCAGGACTCAAGGCTATTAGATTAACTGGTGGGAGTTAACTTCTTGTGTCAGTAGAATCGCCCTTAATTGCAGAAAGGAATAGCAATTTAGAGAAGACGACCTCGGCTGCCTGCAGGAGACAGAAGCTGGGTCCAGTAGGTGTTTCTTGGGCCTCCCAGCTCTGTGATGAGAGTGATGGTATCAGGGTTCCAGACAGAACCCTTTCTCTGGGACCTGCTGCCCAAGCCCTTTCCTCTGACCACAGTCTGTTCTGTCTGTGTGTCGAGTGGCCAGCTGCTCCCAGGCCCAGCCAAGCATCTCCCAGCCCAGAGAACTGGGGAAAAAAGTGTAGAGGCCAGGGCTGCCTATTACCTGGGAAATTGTGTGCACAGATGTGGGCAGTCGGAGAGCTCCAGGCAAGTAGGGAGTGGGAGCTGGCTGGGACAGCTCCTCAACGAGACAGACCCAAGGCCGGGACATCGATCCTGGACAGGTGGCAGCCAAGCACTTGGAAAGGCAAGTGACAGTCTTTAGGAGCCAACATGGCCCCGTGGAAGGCAGTCCTGCCAGGCTACGCTCTCTTCCTTTTTGGACACATTATGACAGATGGAGTTAGGAGGTATCGCCATGCCTGCTGGGCCTGACACAGCTGCTGCCCAACTCTCTGATAGTGACTTCCTGAACAGCATGGGAGTCAGGAGCAGGACAACGGGCAGGGCAAGTGACTTATTTTCGTCCACTGCTGATGAAAGGAAGCCTGGGGCAGGACATGGGCCAGCCCAAGCACTTTAGCAAAGATGCCCATGAAAGAAGAGTCCCACTGCCTCTATCAGTGTCACATTATTACCTCGCACCTGAGCCACTGGAGACGCCTTCCCTCATTGCAGTGTCCCTGGCCTTGCTCTATACCTTGCTTGGCCCCCTCACTGATTCCCACACTTTAAAGCCCCTTGATTATTGTCCTCTGCCATGGGGACTGCCTCCAATCACAGAAGCAACCCCAGAAACAGATGCTGTCTTTTGGAGCTTTCCAGAATAGCTCGGAGAGTGTCCTTACCATGGACTTCTTGCTCCAGGCTGCTCCAGTTCTGCCCACCACGGGGTGGAACGTACCCTTCTATCAGCACTGCTGGTTCTTCTCCTCCTTGATGTTGGCCGTGGCTTATCTAGTCTGTGCTTCTACCTTCAACTCCAAGAAGGATTGGGACCCTGCCTATCCCCAGCCCCTCTGGTGAGAGCCCTTCTCAGCCATTACATCAACAACCACGGCCTCACCCTCACAGAAGATGCTATAAAGGAGGCACTGGGTTGCCAAGGGTCTCATTTGTGGTCTCCTTAAGATTAACAAATGACCCCTAAGGTGAGCCCCAGACCCCTCTGTGTAAGGACCCCCGACCAGGATAGACCCCACCCCCACCCCACCCCACCCCCGCCAGTTGAACAAACTGAAAGCTCTGCTTTACTTAGAAGACATTCCCACGCTAAGCCACAGGATGGGCTGCGAAATTTAGACAGCATTCATGTGCCTGTCTCCTCAGTGTTTTCAAAAGATATTTGGGGACACCTTGCAGAACCTGTTGAACGGGACCTCATCAGGCTTACTTGAGTGCTGAGATGAATGGAGGCCTCTCAGCCTGGACTTCATTTGATCGATTGCTGTTTAGCTTGCTTCTGTCTAATTAAGTGGGGTGTGCTCATAGGTAGGACCTTGGAGAGAGGGTCGGGAGAGGCTGAGGGATAGGTTCCTCAAGAAAATGGATGGTTGGATGGAGACAGAGAGATGTAGCAGCTGCTCCAAGAAAGGGAACCATGGGGACCGTGCTGGTTAAACAGGGAGGCTGTCCAATAGGTTCTTCTGTGTAACATAGAGTGGGGCCCCTCCTCCACTGCCCATGGAACCATCAACAACAATGCACCACCTCCTCAAGCTTTTACAGGTGGAGCTGTTGTGTTTGTTGTTAAGACTGTTGAGATTGGCCGCAAGCAAGCCCAATTATTTTCAAGTTATACTTAGAACAAATACAAATTAGAACTAGGTGAAAATCTAAAACTCTGCTGCAAAAGTAGCCCTTCCCGTCTGCACTCCTGCAATCCCCGTCGGTGCCAGATGCCCAGA